CTCCTAGTGTCGGTAATACCGCAAGTAGTGATCAGGCTGGTTCAATAGTGGGCCTACCGAAACAAACAGATTGAGCTTTTTTGACCAAAATTTTTTAGCCCACTTCACATTTTCTGGACTGCAATTTGAGATTTGAATGCAGTTTTTAACTTAGTTTTGTTGGGCAATGTTTTAAGGATTGTTTTTGGACAATTACTTGGGCAAACATGATAAAATAAGAAATTTAAGCCTAAAAGCTAAAATTATAATTAAACATGCTCAACACATAAATTGAAGCCTAAAACTAAAACAAAGAGAAACCATAAATTCCATCCAAATTGTGTTTTCCAAGATCAGCAAGAACATTATCCATAAACAGAATCCATAAATTATAGGGCTGAGATCGGTTATCGAACCAATGAGCCAGTACCGCTGACTGACCGAGGGTAGTTGGTTTATCAAAAATTGAAACCATCACCGACCGATTTGCAGTCGGTTCTCCTAGTGTCGGTAATACCGCAAGTAGTGATCAGGCTGGTTCAATGGTGGGCCTACCGAAACAAACAGATTGAGCTTTTTTGACCAAAATTTTTTAGCCCACTTCACATTTTCTTGACTGCAATTCGAGATTTGAATGCAATTTTTAACTTAGTTTTGTTGGGCAATGTTTTAAGGATTGTTTTTGGACAGTTACTTGGACAAACATGATAAAATAAGAAATTTAAGCCTAAAAGCTAAAATTATAATTAAACATGCTCAAAACATAAATGGAAGCCTAAAACTAAACTAAACATCCAAATCCAAAGTACGACATAGTTAAACTTAAGCTACAACCCAATAAAAGAAGAAGTTTGAATTAATTTACAACCCAAAAAAAATAGTGTAAGTTTGAATTAGTTCACAACCAAAAAAAAAAGTAGAAGTTTTAATTAGTTTCCAACCTGAACAAAAGTAGAAGTTTTAATTAGTTTACAACCCAAACAAAAGTAGGCACTTGACTTGAGCATTACAAATATGATGGAGTTGGAGGAGGCAAAATGCTTGTTGAAGTTGAAACTTGAGCATTACCACCTTAAGCCTTAGTGGCCACCACATGAAAAAAATATAAGAATATGTACATATTAGTAGAAGCATTAAACCATCAAAGCATCAATAAAATCTAAAGATAAAGAATTGAAATACTTACTTGCTTGAATTTCTTCAAGTTCCTTATAAAAAGAAATTTCCTCATCCGTTGGTTCCTTGTATAAGTTAAATTCGTCCGCCCTAAGCCAATCATGAGTACACACTAATGCCTCTACCATTTTTGGAGTCAAGGAGCTTCTAAAAGGATCCACAATCCTTTTGCCTAGGCTAAAGGCATTCTCACTAGCAACCGTAGAGGAAGGGATTGCAAATATGTCCTTAGCAACCTTGGAAAGGATTGGATATCTTGATTGATTCCCTTTCCACCAATCCAAAAAGTTGAAGTTTTTGTTCCTTGGGTTTTCAAATGGATCGGCAAAGTATTTATCAACTTCATTAGAGATCTCCATTTGTTGTTACTCCTTCCTTTGAAGCAACATCTCCCTCAACGTTTGAGAATGAGCATCATCACCATCAAGCTCATCTTCCAAACCTTCCTCATCCCCCTCATCTAGTGTTTGTAGAGGACCCAAGTTACCAACCCCTTTATACCCATTATACAAAGTAAGCAAGGCACTTTTGACTTCATCCCCAATAGTTTCAACCTTTGAAGGTTCGGCTCCAAGATTGCAAAAGCTAATCTTGGCAAGGCAAGCTTCCATCTAGGGTCTAACACATTCCCTATAAACACAAGTTTGTTGACACCCTCAAAGCTACCCCAATACTTATCCCACTTGAGCTTCATTGAAGAAGCCACCTTTTCCAAAGTTTCATTCCCCTCATCCTTAATTTTTCTTTCAATCTCAACTTGTAACCCAACTAATTCGGTAAACATGATATTGGATGTACAAGTTTTGGTGGCACTAAGCTTTAGGGTGGTTTCTTAAAACTTTTTAAGAGATCGATTTTACGACGGTTTGAAAACCAAATTCACGACGGTGAATTCCCGTCGTCTTTTGCCTTTTTTGTAGTAGTGGCTTCATTGAAAAAGCCACCTTTTGCAAAGTTTCATCCCCCTTATCTTTAATTTTTCTTTCAATCTCAACTTGTAACCCAACCAATTCAGTAAACATGATATTGGATATACAAGTTTTGGTGGCACTAAGCTTCAGGGTGGTTTCACAAAACTTTTTAAGAAAATGCACAAAGGCTTGTGCATTCTCCCAATCCGATTCGGTTGGTGGCCCAACTCTCTTCACAAGGTTTTTTTTTCCATCCTTCTCAAGCTCATTAAAGTAAGCAACAAATGGAGCATTCTCGTCCACCATCCTAGCAAACACATTTTTATACTTAAATGCACCATCAAGCATCTTATAAGTGGCATTCCACCTTG